TGAAAATCATGAAACCTCAACATCCGAAAGAAGGTCATTACGCACAAATATGTTCACAATCGGGGAGTTAAGAATGGAGTTATATGCACGGCCCAACAAGACAATGCTAATTATTAAGTCAATTGCCCCACTTTTTTGACGTCCCTTTGCTTTCTTACATTAGAACATTGAAAATTTACATTTTCAACTATCTTATTTATGAATAATCCTAGAGTTGGGTTCTTATATTATAATAAAATAATATTATTATAATATTTAGTGGAAGACTTAGTTAGATTTAGCTTAGGGACAAATCGAATATATAATATTGTGTGAATAAGAGTATTCACTTCAAAGGAATGACTTCAATACAATGGCTACTGTATCAAAGGGATTAAGCGAATGCGAAAGAGACTAGCTCTTTTAGTAGTGCCTATATAAGGCCTACTACTTTCCTACATAGCTAGCTCTTTAGATAGAATACAATTAGACATACAGGACCTACAATACGTGGGTACTACGTCTTCCGTATCCTTCTCGAACCAACAAATATGATAATAGAATTGAAGTCAAATTATAGGAATGAATTGAATTGAATCTAATTTGCTTATTCCTTCTAGGTTTTCTTTAAAGAATATCCTAGGTTTATATAGTTTATAATAAAATCCTGAGGCTTTAATGCTTATAAATAAGATCGATTTAAATCGAATCTTATAGAATCATATTATATTATAAAAAGAAAGTAGATTAATCATTTTAGTTTATTTTGTTAATAATCTTCTATATACTTCTTGTCACGGCGCCAACTACATGATCTATAGTTGCCTTCATGCCTCAGGCATAGATCATTAGTGTGCCCTACTTTTTATAAATAGGGCCTCATTTTTTCATAGCTTTTATATCTTTATGGTACCATATAAGTCCTTACCTGTACCTTAATAATACTTCTATTCCATTCCATTCTATTATAAATCAATTTGATAAGAGATACTATATAATAATATGATGATAATATAATTTGATAATATAAATTTATATTATACATATATTATTCATCAAAATATCTCTTGATTAGTAAGATATTAATAAGTGATTTAGTATTCTTATTATAGAGTTTTACAAATAAAAACTTACGAAAATGTTATTTCTATATATTTAGAGTCTTAGTGATTAATATACAAATTTATTGAACTTATAATTCAAGGTTCTAGTTTTGAGTATTATTCTAAGATATTAGAAAATACTCTGAAATTATTACTGTCTTAAACATTCAAAAAGACTAATATAATACATTTGATTTTCTTGATATAACTTTGAATAAATTAACTTTGAATAAATCAAAAATTACAGTTGAGTGAAATTCATTATCTATCTTCGTTTCATATTTCCTCTCTTCTAATAATAATTATTTACTTGAAGATTTTAAGTTATTATCATATTATTATTTAATTTTATAGATTAGTTCTTTTCAAAGACTTCTTTTCCTCCTATAGAACTTATAAATCTTATTAGAAGCTTCTATTATTTCTTATAATTTTGAATTTTAAAATTCAAAATTAAATTATATGAGTAGATTTTATTATAATAGTATGAAATTTATAAACTGAATAAAGGAAGCTGCTCACTTTAGATAAAATACTAAGATTATTCAACCTAGTATAAATTGAATTATAATGATAAGTAGTAGATCATGAGTAGCTTGTTACTTGTACTAGATCTATCATAACACGGTCCTTCCGTATAACAAGTTAGCAACGCATTGAGAAGCACACTATCTTTCGTAGACACATGTTGTTTTCTCAATCGTATTATCCGATCATTAGTTTGAAGACGTACTTCCTGGGATTGACATAGGAGGACTTCATAGATGGTGGTGATCATCTTGTTAAATATTCCAGCAATAATGAATAGCTGGGGTAAATAGCAACCAAAGATTGAAACGGCAGCTAAGATCACAGTTTACTTTAATTCTTGTCATGATTGGTGCCAAGATCAAGACCGAGGTACACAAATTATGCGGTTCATCAGAGTGTGTCAGTGGATCAGGGTTAGTTCTCACATTTTCGAACAGGCCTCTATATCTTGGAAACATAAATACCCGATCCACCAAGAAGGGAAGTAATCATTTTATACAGAAAGGGTACACAAGTAGGAAGTAAATCCCATGTGAGTGAAACATGAAGTGTCTATTCTGATTATCCTGATTAACTTAGTTTAAGAGTCAGCCATATTGCGGAGATTACATTCAAAATGGGCAATGATGAGAATAAGATATCGAAATTGAAGAATTCAGAGGCCCTTGAGGGAAGAGGATGAGGTAGTAACAAGGGACCATATGGTCCTAAATAAGATTTGGGTTCCTTGTATAGTATCCCCAACGGGACATGTCCTTCATCTGCATAACGTAATGGGAGTAACGGTCCGTCATTCCCCAAGATTCTTTTTTCCGATCTATCAGTAGCGCCCTGACATAGATCTAGGTTATTTCTTGCTCTATATCTGAGGAAAATTGCAGGATCGTCAAAATTCTAGCCTGGCATGTGAACTCAAAATCGGCGTGCTATTTCAGTCTTAGTTTCTCCACGTTCGGATCCACCCATCCTCAGTATGCGAGGATCTTAACGTCTAAATCACCAACGTGTTCCGCTCCTATCAAGTGGGAATTTCAACAATGATATATATGCAAAAATCGTTGTATCCAACTACTTTTAGAAGTTGTGTCGTTACTTGATTTTCATTATTAATATTTATATTACTTTAACTAGTATAAATGAAATAAATTTGTAACAAAGTCTTGAAGAAAAAGAATTTGAGATAATACAAATTTACTTCACAGCAGGAACATATCAAATTCTCTTCAACCTCGATAGCTCTAAACTTAAACCGGTATAATTCTATATGAACTTATGCGCCAGATATTTATAGGGGTAAAGTCTTCTGAAAGTAGTCTTGGTCATGGTTATGGTTTGTGTCTACAGGGAATTAATCATCCAGGGGTTTCTCAAAAGGGTCATCATAAATCGAATCTATCCAGATCTGTTCTGACTTTGAAATTACTTCTACATAAGATTAATGATATATCATTATCAACATTAAATTACTTCCATATCAAGGTCTCGTTAACAAGACTCGCTCAGAAAGACTCCACAATACAGTCACAATCGAGTTCTCTTTCGGATATAAATAGCTAAAACTAAAACTTCTTATTCCAAAGGGTGTAACGGCTACGACTACCAGCGATGATGGAGGTTAATATTTTCCTGCGGTATATGTTGTAACTATCGGATCTGGTTCATTAGATTTGAAGTTCCGAATGATTAGATAGATGGATGATTTCGGCATTATTTCTTCGGGATTGTTGTCATTTGCGTATAAACTCTGTTAGTTTTCCATCTCTTATATTAATTAGTAGTGAAAAGAAATTATCCAAGTTTCATTAAAACGAAATTGAGTTTCCGTATACACGATTATGGCAAGATGATCAACTTGGATTCTCCAAGAGAATAATCCAGGGCTTCTCGTAATGAAATCGGAGTTCTTTGTTAGCTAATAACAATGCTTAGCATAAAATATGTACTATTCTTTATAGTAAATGAGATGCTGGGTTACGTTTTTATCCCAGTGGTGGAATTTTTTATGTAGTTACGGAGAATATGCCATACATTTAACTTCTTTAGATATAAAAATTGTATTACACGCACAAATAGATAGTCACCTTACTACCCAAGAAAGACTAATTTCTTGTCTCTCAAGATCGTTAGAAATCATAGTACTAGTAATACTTGGCCTTTCAGATGTATGACTTTATTATTCTCTTTCCCTTTTTCCTTTTTTCCTTTTTTCTTCTATTTCTATTTCTATTTCTATTTCTACTTTTACTTTTACTTTTACTTTTACTTTCATATTCCATTCTGAATATTTGTATATATTAGGAAATATACGAAACTTCTTTATATACAAATCTCTCGCCCACAAACACGGTGCGGCCAGAAGTCATCGCACCAAATATACTCACCAATCTTCGATCAAGATGATACACTATAGCATACTTCCTCCATTACTCGTGCGGCCAGAAAGTATACAACACTCCATCTAAATATGGGCCACCAATCATCTTATATTTTACTACCTTATGAGACAAGCGCCTGAGCGGAGTATAGCATACTTCCTGGTCGCACGAGTAGCCTTTGTATCAAAGCAAGAGTTTATATCTTATACTATTCATCATAAAGCTAAGGTCTTAAGTTATCTCAGACCCTTATCAAAAGTAAGTATGCCCATAAGTTCCTCCTCAAGTACACCGAATAAAACTCGATGTCATCGAAGTTGAGGAGAGTAATATTTGAAGAACTCAAAAGACTTTCTGTGTTGACATTCTGGCCCTCTAAGTATGAGTAGTTGTCTTTTGATATCCAGAGCGCGTAATCCAATACCAATATCAATAAAGGTCAGGAAATGGCAATTATTAAAGTTTATTGTCATTACCAATTAAATTGTATGAATGACTATGTTCATCACCGACACTTGTCGTATCCATCCACATTTTGATATATTTCTAAAGTCGGGATGAAGAAACCGACACAAGCTCAAAATTGACAAAATTCCGATTTTTCCTCTTGAAGCCGATTTATGAAGACCTTTCGAAAGTGTGAAGAAAATGGAGCTTGCCTTGACCGACCCATTCTGTTTTGAGTGGTGATTTATAAATAGTCCCAAATTCATTCAAGCCGAAACCTGATATCACTTCCACCATAATGTTGAGACTCTTGTGGCGACATTAATTTCTCAGAATTCCCAAGTCCATTAGTAAATATCATAAAACCACAAATCTTCTCGAAGTCTAATGCAACTTTCTTATTAGATACATACCCCGCTATCCCATTTACGCCCGTTACATATTCGGGGTATCTTATGCTTTCCTATAATACATATCCACATATTCGTATGTCTACCATAAAAACGCCTTCTAGTAATTCATCCACATCATAACTAGTAACAAATGTAACTCCAACTCTACCATCTCAAACATTATATCCATTGCCAGTTCCAACACCATCTAAATCCATAAATTGATCAATATCTGGTATGACAACACTTGGTTGTGGAATTGTTGGTTCAGGAAAGATATTATCAGCTGGAGGACCATCTAAACCTCTACCAACTTGATAATTATCTGGAACTGATTTTCCTAATGTTGTCCTTCTATTCTTTTGTCTCTTTCCAGTCCCTCCAATAGTATCACCTCTTCCATTCATCCATAAACTAGCATCACTAGTTTCACCTCTTCCAATACCAAGTTGATAAGCTTCCATACCTCTTAAAACTGGTAATAAAAGTCGAGTTTCATACCAACGTCCTTTAATATCAGCTAATCCTCGACGAGCTGCTGGTTCTAGCAACTGCCATTCATACCAAGTACGTTTCTTAGCATTATCTGCTACTTCATTACGGAATCTTAAATCAGAAACCATTCGAGCAGGTAAATCAGGTGTTGGCCATTGTGATCGATTGTTATAAGGCATTGGCATTTCGACAAATTTGTAAATATCACCCACAAATGTTACAACAGTCAAAAGTGGATTTGTTTGTACTGTACGTTCGATAAGTTTTTGAACCACGAGAACCACAATTGAATCCCCATCAACACGTAAACGAACTGGTTCGCCAACCCAAATCTTTTCAGCTCCGAGAAACATTCCATTGTAATGTATTTCTCCAGGAGATACGATGGCTTTTTCAAGTCTATCAAAAAGGGAATAACTTCCATCAATAACTTTTGCGGCCAAGATGCTACCATCAACTTGGTAATCACCTCCACCATATTCACCTCGCACAATACGATCCCAAGGTACTTCATCGTAAGGAATATTATTGATTGAACTGATTGTCGTTTGAGGTACACTCCAAGCAAGCCAAGGTCTAATCGATTCTTGATCCTTGATTTGAGCAGGTGAATGTGAAAGTGGGTGAGAAAGTGGTTGAACCAAATATTCCGCTTGAAAATGTTCATATCTTCTCTTTGATACAACTGCGAGACCCCAAGCATGTCCTCTATTAAACCAGACCAATTCTCCTGTACGATAAATGAGTCCAGTATCAGGTGTACTATCGAGTTTTTGTTCTTGTGATCGAATTGATGAAGTCGGTTGAGGTGATGACTTTGATGATCCAGAAGTTACGGATCCAGAAGGTGTCGATCCGGAAGTAGAGACTGCCTTTTGAGGTATGCTAACAATTGGCATGCTATCCTTTTTGATTTCCTTCTTTGGAGGTGGTATGTTGACGATCGGAGCAGTTGCCTTGGTTATCTCCTTCTTCAATATTGCGCCGTTGTCTTGTTTGATTGTTTCTTCTTGTAGATCATCCTCTCCAAATGGTGAACAAACTTTGCATGAACAATTCCTTGAGTCGCCATCTGGATCCGTACTTAACCAAAGTACATGCGGGAAAAAATCTGCCGGACTTCGATATCTCTTCTTTCGACCTTGTGGATGTCCATATAAATATGTATCTTGTCGTTCATAAACTCCGGCTGTGTGTCGACCCTTTTCCTTCTTCATCTCTGCCTCCAGTTTATTCTTATTATATTTGAGGTGTTCCCATAAAACATATCCTTCGGGTAGATCTTTAAGTACGTAATTCCTATCTGCGATGAAGTTAGTTGATGTTATGGAACTTTGGGAATGCCGTATGTATTACCAGAATGTTCTTTTCCTCCCAAATAATGCATCAACATACCACCAATCTTTCTTCTCCAATCTATAGCTTTTGGTTCATCATAATCGAGTTTCTTGTAAAAATCAACAATTCCTTCGGCATCTTCTTTATCATTCAATTGAGCTGCTGTTGGTTGATTTGATTCTTTGATACCTGTCTTTGTAATGACTTCTAATTGACCATCTGATCTACAAATAGTGATAGGATGAAATGGTGCCATGATGGCAATTGTATATGGTAGAAACAATTAACTATTGATGGAATTTAGAAGATGTGATAGTAACCTTGAGATAAAAGTTGTGGGGTTGAGCTAGGTTCTAGTTTGAGTGAATGTGGGTATACGTGCCTTGAGATTCTGGTATTGATTATTAATATAAAATTTCATCTCAAATCAAGCTTCAATGATAAGCGCGTCTTTAATTCTAACCTCACATCCTCACATATCATTCAAGACAATTAATCAAGGGAAAAAAAAAGTATTTATTAATATCTAATTACTAGTAAAATCACTCCACCAACTCCAAAACTATAAAAACTACCAAATCTCGAAGCAAGGCTGTTCATAATATCAAGCACCTCCTTCTCGAGAGCAGCTTCATCTGTGGACATTACAGTATCGTCCCCAGATGATTTCTCGACAGCCTTTTCACGATCTGCAGCCTCCTTAGAAATTTGAGATGCAATTGTAGCTGAGGCCTCATCTATTAAAGAGATTCCATTGTCATCCTTCATGGCCTCATCTCCGTCAGCATCCTTCTTCTCTGCCTTGTCCTTCATTGAAGCTTCCTCAAACATGGTTCGCATGGCGATACCCTCACTATCTTCTTCTTCTACCTCTGGAACTCCCTCGACAGTTTGTTCAGCTGGTCCAAAAGAAGGCAAATGTACTCGACGCCAGCTTCCTTCAATTTCTCGAAATCGTCTGCTACCTTTCTCAATGCGACCAATTCGGCAAGAAGTTTCTGCTCATATCCGGTCTTGATTGCTGGATCCTGGTGCGTAGATAAAAGCGATTTGGCCAGAGGAGTTAATTGAGAATCCTCCTTACGAGTCTTCTCAATTTCCATGGTCCAAGTTTGACGACCATTCCTCAATTGAGCAAATGTCTTTGGAAGCCAATTATCACCATCAACGTCAATGACATCACCAAGATTTAGGACATCCATAATCATGAGCGCAAAGTTCTTAGCTCTCAAATTCCGAGTGATGACAATCAATTGCGAACGCCAGAGATCCAAGTTACCGAAAATGACCATGACACTCTTACCACGGGTCAAGGCGACGTTCATGCGATTCCATTCACTTAAGAATCCAATGAGTCCACCATTATATTGATCGGCAGGAGTCACTGCAAGCAAGACGATTTCGTTCTCACCACCTTGTGTACTATCGATGGTTAGGAATCGAGGGAATCTCTCAATCTTGGGATACTCGGCCTTTAATCTCATCATGACTTGTCTAGAGATCTCATGCAATTCTTCCCTGTATGGTGTCAAGACTGTGATTTTATCGAGATCAATCTTGGCGACATCAACAGTGGGTTCATGTCTGAACAAGTCTATGGTGAAGTCACAGACGGCGTTGATGTTTGCGAAGTTTCTCTTGGATTTTCCGCCTTCTCTCGGTGCAGATTTACCATCTTTCACATTGATGAACAAGCGTTGGGCATTATCGTCCTTGGGTCCACCGAATGCAGGTGCACGGCGTGTAGCTCTGTATGGTTCAGCACTGTCGGAGTTCCACCATTGATTATAGTACTTCAATGTTTCGCTTTCCACCATGGTACTAGGATGAGAGGCCGAGAATCCATACGTCGCAATACCAGGGAAGTTTGCGATTCTCTTGCACATGCGATAATTCATGTTGAATCTCACCAAGTTAACGCTGTGATGATTGAAGAATCGCTCAAACAACGACAAACCATACTGGTTTGAGAACTCATTGTGACCGGCAGATTTAACGACTGGGTGCAATTGCTTGTGATCACCAGAGTATTGATTCTTGGAAGCACACAGTGTGGCTGGAATCAAGACTTCTGGTTCAGCACCGAATGCAGCTTCATCCGTGAGGCAGGCTTGTGGCTTGTAACCATATCCTTGAAGGAGATGTGCAGTATTGCAAGTGCAAATCACAATCTTCACCTTGGAAGTCAAGGAAGAAAAGATCTCCTGTCAGATTCCTTTAGATCGGATATGGTAGTACCACGAGTTGGAAGATAAACAATGTCAAACCATTCATCAACTTGAGGGAACTTGTCACGAACAGTGGCCAACATATCAAGAAGCTTGGTTATTACTTCTTTTGCGGCTGTGTTCGAAGGAGCATTTATGAGAGTCTTCACTCCACATAATGCAAGTCCTAAACCTTGACCAGCAAAAGTCTTTGTCTTTCCAGTTCCTGGTGGACCTTGAAGAAGGCTAGTGTGACAGTTATTGTAAAACATTAACTCCCATGCACGCAATTGCTGCTTGTTCATGTCCATTGATCTGCACAAATAGTCGAAAGCACCTCTCTGTTGAATGGTCATCTGATCTTTGTATTCATCATAGATAGAGGGACCTTCATTCTCGACTCCATGACCCATGAGAAACTTTCGTTGCTTCCATTCGTTTACCGCCCTGGGTTGACTGCAAATTTTCGCAATAGCCATCAACATGCGACTGGCGGGGATCGTATTTCTTTCCATGGTGATGCAAATCTCTAAATTAGCATTGTTGCTGAATGCTTGCCGGTACTCTGCGTTGACGATTTGAAATCCAAGTACGAAGTCCATCTGAGTATCGATTGACAGGACACGAGCGTGAACGACCTCAGTTTCAGGCATCCAACCACCAGGTGGCATAACCTTTTTCTTTTGCTTCATACCCTTAACCAAGGTAAATCCAGGTTCGGCTTCTGGTTCCTTTGGTGCTTCTGAATCAATAGGCAGAGGTACAACGGTAAACTTCATATGAGTACCTGGAGCGACTTCAGGCATGACAAAGTTCTCATCTTTTTCAACAGTTTCATGTAATTGTATGAAGGGTCCTTTTCGGCTCTTGACTGTACATTGGTGTGTAATATCAGGATTGAAGTAACGGCCAATGTTGTAGTTCTCCCACATGCCCTCGTAAATGACACCAAGACTCAAGCCAATTTGTATATCTCTTGGTGAACCGAAAGATCTTCGAGCTGCATGGGATGCATAACTCTTCAATTCTTCGGCAAGATGTGGATATCTCATTCATCTTTGATGCATAAGCTTGATGTCAGGATTCTTCTCCCAGTCCTTGAACACTTCTCCAGCTGGACCTCCAATGGCCTTCCTATAGAAAGGATAAACACCGTGTCTGATGCTGGCTTCCATTTGAGATTTCCAATGAGAATCATGGAATTCGAAAGATGCTCTACTAAGAGGGTCAAGAGAGCGCACCAATGTTGCGTGGAATCGACCATGGCTGAGTTTAGTCATGAACGCTTCCCATGCTACGAAATCACCGGCTGATTGTGGTTTTTCATCCCAAAAGAATGGTCCAACTAACCTAAATCCAAAGAACTCAAGTAGCGGTTCTCTATTTCCTTGAGCAAAGTCGATCAATCGATCAACATCTCTTTGACAAGGACTTTGGAAATCAGTTGCTAGAATCTTTGCAATTTCTGCTCTGCTCGCATTCTTAGCCTTATCACTTGTTCCGGTAACTAGATGAATCTTTTGCTTCCAGAATTGATCGGTTGCAGTCAAATCAACAAAATTGTGACTATGTAAAGAGAAATGATAATTACCAGCGAATATTCTCAATCTTGGTGCTTGACTGAACATATCAAACTTGACTCTAATTTCATGCATTTCGGTAGCACCTCTCCCAATTTCCTTGAGAATTAGGATGGCAGATCTGCTTGCATTGATCCTACCAGCAAGAGTCTTTGGACCTGGGTAATCTCGTGCTCGGTTTCTACTATACCAAGTGAGAAGATCATTCTTAATGATCCTGAACTCAGTCAAAGCACGTTCTGCTGGACTATCATTATTCTTGGGCAATGCTAATTGTTTTGGACGAGTATCTTCGAAACCTTCCTGCTTGCGCTTTCTGGTTTCTTCGATCACTGGTTGTTGATTCACACCAATGTCAATATCTACTACTGGAGCAGGAGTTGTTGCGCCAGGTGGTGCGATAGGTGCTCCATTACCAGCAGTTTGACCTGCGGCAGGAGTGGTAGCATTAGATGCCATTGTAGTTATTATTCGGGCTTATTAGGCGACCGATTTTTTGCTCAAAAGAGAGCGGGGGGTGAATAAATTCGAAAAAAATTCCAATCAAGCAAGACCAGAAGACTTTCGTCGACTGGCGAATTGCACCGAAAGGAAAGTTTAAAAAAGGGAAAGGTCGATAATTGTAGGGCCCAGAGCTCTCGAAAGAAGCAATGGGTTCCGCGCCAAGGTAATTAGGTCTACCAATAGATACTATTGGTAAATATTTGGTACTGTCAAAGAAAAATACGTTAGCAAAGATTCTGGTAGATTGTTCGAGACCTTCAAGCTGAGATCTGATGTTCAATGTCGCAGTAAATTTGTGGCATTGATTTGAGTTGAATGTCGACGTGGCGTTGAGCTAATTGTATGAAATGAATGTCGCTATGATGCTGAGGCAGTAATTTGAGTTGAATTTTGTCTTGGTGTTGTAGTGTTGATATCTGCAGTCAACTGCGCGACCTTGTCATCTGCGGTCAAAGTCTCCAAGCAACGGCGCATCTGGAATTTTGGCGCATTCGACGTATTCGAATTTTCATTCCAATTGATTCAATTGATCCCAGCAAGAAGGTCTTTATAAATTTGGAGCATCATGATAGAAATTGGGGGTAACTTGCAGTTAAGTTTACGATGCTCGAAGAAGAAAAAAGAAGATCGCGAAAGATCTGAGATTTGTTTTGATATATCGTGCGGAAGGTTTGAAGCGAATCACGTGATAACAACACGCAAGGCTAAGACTAATTATGAACTATGAGGCTAAGGTATTCTATCTAATCACAGGCAGTTTACTTTTTCTATCTTCGGTCGGTCAGTATATTTTATTGTTTAGGCGGTGAACATTTTTTCAATGTCTAGTCTAGTACGCTAGCGAGGTTAAGCTGGAGGTAGTAGGTAGATCGTCTCATCTTGAATATCCGATAACTTCAAGTATACACTCACCAGACAACAACTTTTACAAATTCTATTTATCATTCAAAGGTATACTGCACATATTCTCTTTTGACAAGACCTCTTATAAATCTATTTGCTACTTGACGAAAGTCTTGTAGTTTGGTTGTAAGAGATCTTTTCAGGAGCTCACTTCCCCTTCCCGTTCTCTTTTGAGTAAAAAATCGGTCGCCTGATAAGCCCGAATAACAAATTCTACATCATGAGTTATCTTATGATCTTTGACCCAAAAGGGCCCAAGCAAGCATCAGTTGATGGTTTTGGTAACCCAGTCTACCAAATTTGGAAGATTCATGATAAATGGCATAGGGAAGATGGATCATTACTACACGAAGTCCAACTTTTGGAAGAAATCAAAGGTAAGAATGAAATCTATCACATTGAAGAAGAAGAAATGAAGAATAAGTATGGAGAAATGGTTGAGAAATGGGAAGCCTGGTATGGTATGGATTGGAAAAAGAGGTATGGTGAGTTGGGGCATATTTGGAATCCAAAAGATGAGAGATCAGTATCAACTCCAAAGAGAAGATTTGATGATACCCCTAGTAAGTCAAGATCGATTGAGAAGAAATCGAGAAGTGGGAAATCTTCCATTTCAGGTGGGAATGATTTGATTATGAGTAACTCTCCAATTACTGATGATGTTCATTCAAGGTCAGGAGATAGGTATACTTCAATGCCGACATTATTTTCACCAGCATCAAGAAGTGAAAATTCTCCTATTCCAGGCGATCTTGATTCAGGTGTGAGTAGTCCTTCACGGGCTAACATTTCTCGTCCTAATCAGGGTAATGCATATGCTTTACTGCCTCCACCATTATTATTCCCAGCATCTTCCCAATCTTCAAGAAGATTGGCTGCAAACCAACAAGGTAATGTAGGGTTATCTAGTGGCTTTTCTATCCCTTCTAGATTTATAAGACGATTAGTCTCGGGATCTTCAGAATCCGGCGAACAATCTGCGAGAGGTTTGACTTCGAAAACTGATTATCTTGAATCTCCATCTACATCTAGACAATCTGCGAGAAGGATACCAACCCTGTGGTGGCAAAGTTAATATTCTGGACAAAGATAAATTCAATATAAATCCCCATATAAATTTCTATTTCATATATTACAATATTGATATATATATTTATTAATAATGAATAGAGCTCTTTATTATTAACAAATCAAATTGATTCTTTTTATAATCCATTTATTATTAAATTTTGATAGAAAAAATGAAAATATAATTATAAAATTGATTATTTTGAAATCCAATTATAAACAAATATAAAAGTAATACTATTACAATATAAAATATTTTCTATTTTCTAATCAAAATAAAGTCTATTTTATAAAATCAATACTATAAACCTATCCCAATAACTTTTACAATTCTCTATTACTTTTATCCTTTTAATGATATCCCTTATTTCTCTTAATTTTATAGTCTTCAATTTACTAAATCTCTTATTAACAAATCTATTAATTATTAAAAAGTCCCATTTTCTATATTTTCATATAAAACAAAACTCTTATACTATTATAATCTCTTTTTAATTATAATTTTATATAATAATTTATATCCTTTTATATTGCTTTTTAGTTTTTCCTTTTAAATACTACTATATATACAAATCATTACAATTCTTTATTAAAATATTTTATTTAATTTTCATTTCTATTATTATATTGATATCAATTCTTACTTTTTTAAAGAGTTTTATAGAATTCTTATTGATTAATTATTATTTTAAATCTTTCCCTTTAAAATACTATTTAATTAAACTAAATTATATATAATTTAGATTTATATCAAGAAATACCCTAAATATTATTAGGAATTCTAGGTTTTACTTTAAATAGCTTTTTTTCTATTTATAATAATTCTTGGATTTTAATAAATGATTTATATATTCCATTTATATTAATTAATTTAATAAAGTTTTATTTATATCAATCATATTAATTACTATATTTTTATAAATATTAATATATTTTTTTATTAGTTATACTTAAAATATTTATTTTAAATCTAAATCTTTAATTTATATTATTATTTTATATTAGAATTTTTCTATTTATATATAAATAAAAATTCAAAAGATTAGATTTTTATATTTAAATAAAGCAAAGAGTATTAATTGATTTTATATACTTTTATATAATCTTCTTTACTCTGATAATATAACTCTTGAAATGTTCATATAAATTCCCTTAATTTCTATTCAAGATTATCTATATCTTTTTTTAATATTAATCTTTTGTAATATAAAATATATATATCTTTTAGTAAAATAAAATTCTTTAAATAAGATTTAAACTCTAATAAATTTATTAAAAGAATAATTTTATTCTATATCAGAAATTCCTTTTATTTTGTAGTTTTATATTCCTTCCAATATTTATTTATATATTTAATATCTTATCCAAACTATAAGAGAATTATATATCTTGTTTTTTTTTAAATAATATTTAATTAACGCTATTCTTTTTTTGGTATAATATATAATATTAAAAACACTTTCTTATCTAATCCATTCTTTCTTTAATTCTTTAAATTGTATTTAATATCTTCTAAATCTGATATCTATAATGTAATTATATTTCTTATTTTATATAGTAAAAGATTTCCTTTTTTTAATATTGATAATAATACCTTGTCTTTTTATTATTTCCATTTCTTTTTTAACTCTTTAATCTTTTTCTTATAGAATTTCTTATTATTTAGATTGAATTATTTATCTTTCTATAAAAAATAAAGATCTATATTATATTTTGTAAGATATAATATATTATATTAATTCTAATACTTTTTATAAAATAAATTAACTCGAGTTTGAGTAATATAGAATTATGTGTAAATCCCTAATATTTATTTTTTGTTATTTTATTTATTTATATTCTTTTTTATTTTCTTAATTGAAATCGAATATTATTTCTTAGTTCTAAACTTTCATTTTGTAATTGAGCTGTAGTGTATAGAATATAATAAAAACTATTATTAGATTTATAAATATTATAAATTATATAATAATGATATAGGTAATATATATTATTAAACTCCTTTAATCTTATAGTCTTAGTTTTCCTAGGACTATTTCTAGATATAATAATAATTTATATATATAATATAAACAGTTTTTTTATAAAAAAGTTGTATAACCAATATTTAAAATTATTATATTTATTTAAATTATAAATACTTTTATTTAAAATTAGTATTTTATTTATTATAGATTATAAAAAAGAATCTAAATTATTAATCTTTCTTGATTTTGATATTAAATAAGATAATAAAAAGTTCTATTTTTTTATTTATTTGTTTAAAGAAAAATTGAAATTAAATAGAATAATAGGGTATATATAATAATTATTGATTCTAATTATTTAGATATCATTTTGTAATAATACTAAAGTTATATCTTTTACTGTATTTTTAATTAATATTAATCTATAAAGATAGAATATAGAGATATTTTATTTCTAAAATAAACCAAGTTTTTTTCTATAATAATTCTAATATAAATCGTTATTAAAAATATCCCTCTATTCTTTATTTCTATCTCAATTTTTGATTCTATTAAAACTAGTTTTATAAGTTATTAGATATTTAGTTTTAAAAGATTTGAATTGTATATTTAATTTTCTTTTTAAAGGAAAAAAGAGATATTACTTTCTTAAACATTTTTCTCCTTTTTTATTTGTTTCTTTATACTATTTGAATTCCTTATATAATCTATAGCTATAGGAATCATTTACACTCTTACTTTCAGTATAAGCCATATAGCTTTTAATACAATAATCAATCCATTTAAATTATAAACCCGTTTTATTTCAAAACTATATATTCTTCCTTCAAATATTTAAAAAGGAATTAAAGACATTAGTAATATAATCCCTATATTTCATAATAAATTCAATTATCTTTTACTATTCAATATATATAATTTATATTTCGAATATAATTTAATCAACTAGTATTTTGATATCTATTAAAGATTAATTTATTATTAAATAAAATAGAAATACTTAAATTACTTTAGTCTATTTGATTCAATTTATTATTACTATCAAATCCGTTATTATCATTTATATTATTATTATTCAAACTCTTATTTGAATTATATTATATACAATTTAGCTTTCGAATTATAAATTCTAAATCTATATTTAATTCAATCTATTACCCTCTTATATCTCTTCCTTCCCCCTCATTTAAAAAGTCCTTTATTACCTAGATTTTATCCAATATTCTTTTGATTTTGTTTTTTATATACCCCCAAATAATATTATTGTTTTCTTTATTATTTATATTAAAACTAAATATCTTTTTTGAATATTAATTATTATTATTAATAATATAAATATTAAAAGATTATTTCTTTTGATTATATCTATAAAAAATAGCTTAATTAATTAATTTATTAATTAAATATCTCTAATAACTATATACTTTCTTTAATCCAAAAAAATAAATATTTCAATTATTTTTATTTATTTATATATCAATATAATACTCTTTATTAATATATTTTTTAATAATTCTCAAAGATTACACTTTACCACAATAATATCTATATAAACAATTTTCGAATTTATATTATAATCAATAATAATAATATTATTATTATTATTATTATTACTATTATTACTATATATCCCTCTTATTTTGAAAATTACAAATAAAAATAATTATTCAACTTTTTTATATCATACTTTGAAAAAATATATAAAAACTTAACATATTTTTCAGAATTCTTATCCTCCTCCAAGAAAAAAAGTAAATTCTATATATCCTTACTCCTCTAGATTATAATTTACTTTAATTACTAGAATTTATATTATTTTATACTATATTTATATTCTTTCTATAAATAGATTTATTATTTATATAAATTAGAAAAAGAAAAATAATTAGAATTTAATTAATTTATTAATTGATTTAATTTTTCTAGAGTTTATATAAAAAGATTTTATTAAATAGTTTTTTATAAATAATTGAATAATTGATATAATAATTTCTTAGAGTATTTAAATATATTAATAAGGATTTCAAAATATTTATTTAATAAATAAAAAAATATAAATAAAAAATATAAATAAAAAATATAAATAAAAAGTATAAATAAAAAAGATTATTAAATCTAAAAGCAAAAATTATTATTAATAATTAATTTTATTTTTTAATAAATTATTTAGTTATAACTCAATAATAATATACTGAAAATCAAAGTTTATAAAGTAGTTTTCAATTTGTAATATATTTTACTCTAATAATTCTTTCAATATAAAAGATTATAAATCTATATTATAATCTATTTTATTATTAGTTTAAATTATTAAAACTTAAAAACCTATAGAAAAATGATCTATCTTACTTAATCTTCTTTAAATATTATTATTAATATACTCTTTTCATTTATTAGAGATTTTGAATCTTATTTTTTCTTCTAATCATTTTATCTCCTTTTTATTGAAATTATCAATATCCATTTTTATTTTACTATCTTCTTTTCCTTTTTTTTTTTTTTATCTTTTTCTTTTCTTTTTTCTTATTTAAATAACTATTATTATTAAACTTATTTCTATTATTATTATTAATAGTTTTAAAATCAAAAAGATTATTATTTTCCTTTTGCTTATTTATTTCAAATTATAAATCGATATTAATATCAATTTCAATTAAAGGATTAAACAAATCAGTCTTATTTAGGATAAGCTTATTTACTTTCAAATCAAATTTAAAATTATTAAAAGTTAATAAATAAATTAATAAATATTATAATCTGATATCTATTTTTCTATTTTTATTGAATTAAGAATTTCTTTTTTCTTTTTCTTTTCCAATATTTTTCAATTATTTTTATTTATATTTTAATATAATAAAGATTTTTTTAATTTATTAATATAATAAATAATTTTAATTCTTATATTCTCTTTAGCTTTATATACTATATATATATTAAAGAAAAGATTCTATTACCTTTTTTATTTATAAATAGAATAAGAATTGAATAAATATTTATTTATATTTTTGTAATATTTATTAAAAGCTTTGTTATTAATGCT